TGTTCTCAATGTCCTCAATTTTTTCATAATGGTGTTAATCCTTGATTATTGATTATTATACATAATCAATTATGGCAAATGGATGTTACTTATTTCTGATTTTTGAAAATTAAAATATATACATGTGACTTGGTTGCAACTGCTTTAATAAGAAAAGCACCTAAAAGTATAATTAGTCATTGCCTATATTGTTTCTCTATGCTGGTCATTCCAAATTAGATTAAAACAGATAATGGAACTGGCTATTGCAGGGATGCATTTCAGACTCTCTGTTGACATTTTAATATTACCCATATTACTAGGACTCCTTTTAATCCTCAAGGACAAGGTATTGTGAAACAGATACTGTGGAACTTTAAAATAATACTTTCATAACTCTCTTGAATGTGGGAGGAGCAGCTACTAGTTCTGACCTGGCTTTGCAAGGAACTCTGAAAAATTGGCTTTTAAAAACAAAAGAGGGGGAGGTACCCTCCAAGGTCACTGAAAGCAGATTTGCTTTTGTCTTATTTGTTTTAAATTTTTTGCAAACTGATGCTAAATGTCAGTCTGTAGCAGATCGCTACTGACATCCAGTCACTTCCAGCTCATATGCCATGGCTAAATGCAGAGACCCCTTAACTAACACACTGAATGGTCTCAACTCTGTTTTAATTTAGGGTCGAGGTTCTGTCTGTGTTTTTTCACAAAAAGAAAAGGGAGCTCGATGGCTGCCTGAAAGATTGGCCTGTCAAGTAGACAAGGATTCTGAGCCTAATGATAATGATACTAATGATGAAGACAGCTCAGAATCCCTAACAGCCAGCTGAGTTAACTTGGAGTGTAGTCTCCACTCTTACTGAAGAGCAAATGTTTTTTGTCAGTATTCAAAGCCACCACCCATATACCAGGTGGCCAGGCATTGTGTTTGATCCTTGCCAATTAACAGCAAGATTAGATACCTGGGACATTCCTGCTTACAACTTCAATTTCTACACTGCTTGGACCATTAATTATAATCGTGTTGCTTTTAACTTTTGGACCTTGTATCTTAAACAGATTGGTTGCCTTCATACAGGATCACTCTCAGCAAGCCCATGTATTCACCATAGCAGTTATCCATCGCTATGAAAAAGTACATTGAGAGCATATTCATATGTCCTTTGTGCCTTTGGTCTGGTGGGAAAGAGTGTGCATGCTATACAAGGCTGGCAACAGGGCTGGAGAGATGGCTCAGTGGTTTAGAGCACTGAATGCTCTTCCAAGGTCATCAATTCAATTCCCAGAAACCACATGGTGGCTCACAACCATCTGTAATGGGGTCTGATGCTCTCTCTCTTCTGGTGTGTATGAAGATAGCTACAGCGTACTCAAATAAATAAAATGAATAAATAAATCTTAAAAAAAAAAAGAAGGCTGGTAATCAGAGACAGGTAAGAGTGTTCTTGAGCTCCTATCGACCTAAGACAGAGACATGCATCAATAATGCTATTTGTTCTCCTTGATGTGTAAGAAGGAGCAATATAGACACCAATCTAAACCAGACATGGATGCCTGGTCACTCTACCCTAGATGGGCTTATGGAAAACAAGGAAACCTTGTACCCCCATTCAGCTACTGGTACTGTTCATCTTTTAAAAACTAAAAAGGGGGGATTGTACCCTCAGGCCATTTTGTTTAAACATCTGGTCTTCTCCATCTGTAGCCCAAGCTAGCCTTGAATTGTCAATCCTCCTGCCTCAGCCTTCCAAATTTTGGGATTTCAGGCATGAAACACTACTTCAGGCTGGGAGGATCTTTTATTTATTAAGAGGTGATGGGGACAGGGTGAGGCGACTTTAATCCCAGAACTCAGAATATTAAGGCAATCGAATCAGGAGTTCAAGACCAGCTTTGGCTAATGAGAAAATCTGAAGCCAGCCTGGGCTACAGGAGACCCTGCCTCAAAATGAATGGATGAATGAATGAATCAATCAATCAATCAATCCATTGGATGTACTAGCTCACAGCTCTATTCCCAGCACTTGAGAAGTAGGCGAAGGTGGATTGATTCAAAGCCAGCCTTGACTACCTAGTGAGTTTCAGGCTAGCCTAGACTATATGAGACCCTGTCAAGAAAGAAAAGGAGGTCATGGGGCATGTGGGCTGTCTGTGTCCAGACTGCCTGGGTTCAAATCCCAGGTTTGTTACTTTATCTGGCAAAGTACACGGACACTGAGGGACAGTGGGGCAATAGGACCTTGTGATGAGAGTTATGTGTTGCCGGTTGCTTTCTGTGGAGTCACAGGACTGAGCTCCGGGTGTAGAAGGGACCGCCTTTGTATTAGAAGTGAGTTATGTCACTAGATATAGCTGCCGACCTTAGGGGACTTTGACTTATGTGTGGGGCTTTGTTTATGTGTGTGTTGATTTATTTTGACTCAAAAAAATTCAAGGTAGTGAATATTTTCTTTCTTTCTTTCTTTTTTTTTTTTTTTTGGTTTTTCGAGACAGGGTTTCTCTGTGTAGTCCTGGCTGTCCTGGAACTCACCCTGTAGACCAGGCTGGCCTTGAACTCAGAAATCCGCCTGCCTCTGCCTCCCAAGTGCTGAACTCAGAAATCCGCCTGCTTCTGCCTCCCAAGTGCTGGAACTAAAGGCGTGCGCCACCACTGCCCTGGCTCACAATATTTTCTTTAGAGATTTTTTTTATTACATGCATTCATTTATTTTGTGTGTGTGTGTGTGTGTGCTGTATGTGTACATTGTATGTGTGCTTCTGTGGATTGTACCCTCCCCCAGCCTTGAGCAGGCTGGAAAGACCTTGTTTTACCACAATAGACCTTGCCACAATAGGACCTAGGTGGAGTTATCCTGGCTGCTTGTACAACTTCCTACAGGAACTTTGAAGAATAGAGTGCCTGCTGAGCTTGTGACATAATCCAGCTGAAACAAAGGATGGGTTCCCTGGGCTTCCCCTATATATGCAAGTGCTGAATATTAAACTTTGAGACTTGATCTGAAAAATTTGTCTTGGCTTCATGTTTCTCTTGCTCCTCTGTCTCTTTTTCACTTCTTTCAGGTGAACCCAGTTCATCGTTGGCCACTGGGCAGCTACAGAGAAGGGAAGGTGACAGTCCTAAAAGCTGGTCTTCTCACTGGCTACTACAGAGCCTTCCAACTATAGCTCAGAAGGGACTTGCTCATTACTGAGAATACAGCTCTGAAGGAAATGGAGCCAGACTCATGGTGCCTTTGAGGTGAAGATCTAGTAGAGTTTTGTTTTTCATTATTTAACCACGTTTCCCAACTATGGGGAAGGTTAGAAAAGATTTCACCCAGAATCATGTTGCAGCTTGAGTGTAAACACAGAGACCCCATGAAATTGTGTTGGATATGTCCTGAATCGGAATGTTCTGTGATAGTCAGGAGGTATTCCTCAATACCTGAATGAATATTCTTCTGGAAGAACCAGAGAACACCTCAGCTCTCTCCAACCATAGCCTGTTGTCCCCTGGTTTTCGTGATTCTCCACATCACGTTATATTGTTATCTGATGCTATACTGTGTGTAAGTGCAGTTGCCTGGCTGTAAAATTGAAACATTGACCATGGGTAAGCTGTCAGGGCAAATTCTGGACAAGCCTGAGAACGAGAGTTTGATCCACAGAATCCACTTGTAGAAGAGAACCAAGAGAACCAACAACATTGTGTTTGACAACTGTATTCTTGTTGAATTATGCTCTCTTGCTCTCTCTCTCTCTCTCTCTCTCTCTCTCTCTCTCTCTCTCACACACACACACACACACACACACACACACACACACACATCCTCATTGAAAAAAAAAGGCACTTTTGACCCTCCCAGTCAGACCAGGATGAAACTACATCTGCAGAAGAACAGGAGACGAAGCAGGTGGTGATGGAATTGAGGAAGACTTTGGAAGCCTTTCCAGGCTCTAGAAGCTTGCAGCAGGCAGTTCCAATGACGCCACTGCTTCCACACAAGGGAGCCCTATTCTCTGAGGGAAACTCGCCAATTGTTTAAAACTTATTTTTGTTGGATATTTTATTTACATTTCAGATGTTATCCCTTTACCCCATTACCCCTCATTCCCAGGAAACCCCTATTCCATCCCTCCTCCTGCTTCTATGAAGATGTGCCCCAACCTACCCCCACTCCCACCTCCTCATCCTCGATTTCCCCCACACTGGCATCCAACCTTCATGGGACCAAGGATCACCTTTCCCATCTATGTCAACAAGGCCATCCTCCCCTACATATACAGATGGAGCCATGGGCCCCTCCCTATGTGCTTCCAGGCTTGTGGTTTAGACCCGGGGAGCTCTGGTTGGTTGGTATTGTTGCTCTCCTCATGGGGCTGCAAATCCTTTCAACTCCTTCAGTCTTCTCTTTAACTGTTCCATTGGGAATCCCTTGATCAGTTTAATGGTTAGCTGTGAGCATCTGCTTCTCAGTGTCAGACTCTGTCAGACCTCTAAGGACACAGCTATATCAGGCTCCTGTCATCATGTACTTCCTGGCATCCACATCAGTGTCTACCTTTGGTGACTGCACATGGGATGGATACCCAGGTGGAATGGTCTCCAGAGGCCCCCTCCTTCAGTTTCTGTCCCACACTTTGTCTCTATATTTGCTCCCTGGAGTATTTTGTTACTCCTTCTAAGAAGGACCGAAGCACCCACACTTGGTCTTCCTTCTTCATGAGCTTCATGTGGTCTGTGAGTTGAATCTTGGGTATTTTAAGCTTCTGTGCTAATATCCAATTATCAGTGGATGAATACCATGTGTGTTCTTTTGTGACTAGGTTACCTCACTCAGGATATTTTCTAGTTCCATCCATTTACCTAAGAATTTCATGAATTCATTTTTTAATAGCTGTGTAATTGTGTAAATGTACCACATTTTTTTGTATTCATTCCTCTGTTGAAGGACATCTGGGTTCTTTCCAGCTTCTGGCTATTATAAATAAGGCTGCTATGAACATAGTGGAGCATATGTACCAGATACACTGAAACTCACCAATTTCAATCACACTGTCATCATCCAAGACATAGTGAAAGGCGAGAACTCGGAGACATGGAAGCTGCAGGCACTGCTGGATAATCAGTTTAGCCACTTGGTGAATCCCATCCCCAGTGGGAAGGAGTAGTTCCTCCAGGTTCCTGAGAGAACCCAGAGCCTGGGCTGTGAGAGACACAAGAGAGCCATCCTCAGGAGTTGTTCCATCATGAGAGCCAATGACTTACACAGTCTGTATTCCCCACCTAGCACAGACCCTCCTCATCACTGTCCTCTCCAAGGGCAGGAGAAGGAGTCAGCATACAGCTGCTCCCTGCTGCTCTCTGCTGCTGCTTCCTCCATCCTCCCTCAACCTGTCTCTTCACTCCAAGCTGCCTCTCCATCTCCATTTTGCCTTGTACACTGAGGCCTCCATGACAGTTCATTCTAACTGCCCAATGCTTTCAGCCCTATACCTTGCCATCCCATCCTCAACTACCACCCCAATGATCCAATCTGAGGAGAGCCACCTTCCTTGTAACTCATGGTCCACTACTCTGACAGCTTTCCCTTATTCATCCTTAGCATGACATTCTGTAGATCACATGATCAAAGTCTCTACTTTGGTGGCCTGGCAGAAAGTGTTTACAAGCCTTTGTAAAATTAAAACAATGTTCTAGACTTATCTTTGACTTCCCCATTCGAAGTGTTCCTTTAGAAAAGATAGTATTTAAAACTCAATTTCCAGAATTTGGGAGTTGGCTCAGTGATACAATGCTTGCCTAACATGCTGTACACCATCACAACACACACACACACACACACACAGAGAGAGAGAGAGAGAGAGAGAGAGAGAGAGAGAGAGAGAGAGAGA